GACCGAATTGGCATTTCGCCGTTCCGACAGTTGGAATTCCGACTGAATCGGCATTTCGCCGTTCCGACAGTTGGAATTCCGACCGAATTGGCATTTCGCCGTTCCGACAGTTGGAATTCCGACCGAATTGGCAGTTCGCCGTTCCGACAGTTGGAATTCCGACCGAATTGGCATTTCGCCGTTCCGACAGTTGGAATTCTGACCGAATTGGCATTTCGCCGTTCCGACAGTTGGAATTCCGACCGAATTGGCATTTCGCCGTCCCGACAGTTGGAGTTCCGACCGAATTGACATTTCGCCGTTCCGACAGTTGGAATTCCGACCGAATTGGCATTTCGCCGTTCCGACAGTTGGAATTCTGACCGAATTGGCATTTCGCCGTTCCGACAGTTGGAATTCCGACCGAATTGGCATTACGCCGTTTCGACAGTCGGAATCCGAATTCCGACCGAAATTGTCAGATTCTTCCGACCGACTGTCGGTCGGATCCCATCACTACTTCAGATTGTTGTCATCGTTTTTTCCTGTAGTTAAGTTATCTTAGTTGACTGTTTGGAGAAATATGTAACCGGGGGTGATAAAATTCTGACCATCGGATGTTCGATTATATCAAGAGATTTGCATTTTAATTCCGGCAGTTCTTTAGTTTAGGGGCTTCACACGCGCAAATAGACACATTTCTCAGCGTAGTAGGCACGCCCACCCAGCGATGAGGCTACGTATGGGCTTCGGCTCACGTCTATTTGCTCGGTGTAGCCCCTAAACTAAAGATGTACCTTAATTCCTTTATCGAGTCATTTTGCGTGAACTATTGTTGTCGTGTTTGGTGTTGAATTACCACTTTATTTAATTTCTTTATGGTAACTGATTACAGATCATCACTGAACTCAACAGGATCTCAAATGGAACGGCTATCAAAGTCTGTAACCGTGTTACGTGCCTCCTTAAGACTTTCAGAGACAAACCACCCAAACAGGTACATGTTACTGTAAAGTGTTTTGTTCGTATGAGGGTAAAAGAATAAAACGAGGACGGCGCCTCCAAAGAATGCTTTTATGCGTCAAAAAGACGGAAGAATTAATGAATAAAATAATAATTTAAATAGTAATAATAATAAAATATAAACAGTAACATCAAAACATAAATAACTAAAATAAAGGGTTATTAGTAATAATAATAAATATAAAAGTAATAATAATAAAATAATTAACTATGTTAATAACAATAATTACAAAATACAAACAATAATATGTTTATAACCAAGAAATTATTTTTGCTTCTTTGACAAGTTCAACTGAAAAAAATCAAAACTATATTTGATTTTTAAATTGCTTTTAAAGTTGTCGTTGCAGTCGGAAACAAGGTCGATTCGAAAAGGAACGAAATCTGCTTACAGATTGCACAGATACCATCATCTATTCAGATGTCAAGTTTGTTTTCAAGTTTTTTCCTCGCATAAATGCTTGTTTGCATCATTTTATTCGGATTATTGATGTGAATATACCTTGTATTTTATTTTACAGAAGAGATAGTTATTACTATGAGGTGTTCTCAGAGTTAATGAAAACAGTTTTCTGTTTCATCAATCATAAAAATGCAGATTTACGACTGGTAGCGGAGCAGTGTCTAGATTCTATGCTGCAAGTATGTTATGATTTCGATTGCTTTATGTATATGTTTATGTGTAATGCGTATAGTATGTATTTAAAATGTCAGTTGTTAAAGAGTGATTTATTTGGGGTAGAGTAGGATCGAAGCCTCCCGAGATGCAGAGGACTCGAGCATTTAAGAGGTCTCGATGGTCCTTGGGAGCCCCTGGCCCTATCCTCCACCATATGGGGCCTCGAGCTGTATCTCTAAGCTCAGCGTTTCTCGAGATTGATCTCACTACTAGTGTTGGGTCGAGAACATCGAGATTCGGGGTCCACCGAGCCCGATTCCACCCTCGACACAAACGCTGTTTTGAAGTATATGTAAATAGTTACTTATTTATCAGTGTGTTTACAGCATTTAATTTCGCAGTCGAATATATCAAGAGCCGTTGTGCTCTTAATGTCAGAGGTAAAGCGTAATGGTGCTGCCCGTTCTCTGGCAGTCGCTATATCTCGAATGGCTGAAGTCATGAAATATGTGAAAGCAACTCATAACGGGTTAGTTGTCATTTCAGTTGATACGCCAAGAGACTTAAATTGGTGTACATTTATTTATTTCAGAGCGATTGGTGTACATTTATTAATAGCATTAATACCAATATTGCGTCGTCCAGAGGAAACGGTTCAAGCAGCAATCGAAAAATATGTTCCATCCATTCTCACCATCATTGGTCATGAATTACCATCAAAATGCGATACATCGGCTGTTGTATGTTTATAATTATCGTTGTTGATGTTATTGAAATATAAGAAGCTACTTCAGTGGACAAGTAGGATTTCATGTCTAATTGTAGGCACTTTATGAAGTCGCGTTAGAAAACTTGGAGTTATCAGGCACGTCAAATCGAGTAGCATCTGTTATTATATGGCAGTTGGCAATGTACATGGATACCATTCGGTTTAAAGTTGTTGAACGTTTACCAAGTTGGTTTATTATTATGGTTATTATTACTAGTTTTATTATAAGTATTATCATTTATTATTGTTAACTGTTTTGTGTTTTGGTAACGAATTGAAGGAGCATAGAATGGTTACAGGGTATTTCCAAGAATCAGATGAGCCTGGCTTCAATATAAACATTCTGGTGGGAACGTTAACGACATTGCGTCTTGTTTGGCCAGTTGTGATGGAATATAAGAATGATTTGAAGAAGTGGATGCAAGTGGTATGTTTTTAATTTATGAAAATAATAATGTTATTTTGAATGCATTTTATTGAAAAATAATGAATGGTAATGACAGGTGATGCGTAACGTTTTACGATGTGTATACTCGAAACGAAACGAGGTTATTGTTGCGTCATTGGAATGTCTTGAGAAGATGTTGAAACGATTGGATGAATACGGTGATTTAATTGCTGAATTCTATCCTCAGTCCGTAACATTACCATCAACATCAGGAGCAGCAACATCCACGTTTCTTGAGCAAGATCTCATCCAGACACAACTACTTACGAATGTTTCTGAGGGTAACTGTTTACTTTCGTAGAAATTTTCTAGTATTTGAAGTTGACAGTTGAACGTTCGAGCACTATAGAATTCGGGTTGTGAGGTGAAGCAGTTATTTGATGGGTATTTTTAAGCATTATCGGTCGAATTAAATTCGATTCGTGATGTAAGTCCGTTTGAGTCAAGTCTCGATACAACACTCACTGCAGCTGACAATGACATTGATCGCGCTTCGGCCACTTGGACCGATCCAGATGTTCCTTTGAACATCTATGTTGATAGTACTGATGGAGAAGTGGTTCGTTTTTATTTTTTATTATCTCTACTATTAGCAGTAAGATGAGATTTTTGGATTGCAGAGTGTGAGTTCGTCGTGTCACGAAGATGAAATCATCGATCCGCTGCGTCATTTGGACATTTTTGATGATGAACCAGTGGAAAGTATGAGTGAAAGAAGAGCGGATTCGGGATTGCGGAGCCCACAATCTATGAGTTCAAATGATAGTAGTAGCAACTCGATCGCACCTACTCTTCCCACAGACATTTGTATGACCCTTATTCATTGTGCATCGATCGCTGTCATTATTCAAATCATATCTTGCAGCAAGTGAACCATTCGCAGTCTATACGTCGGTATTAATCGCGAAACGTTTCCTACTGAGTGGTAAATGTTTGAAAATGCGATCGGATTGTGAGGTACGAGTGAGTCATAAAATACTGGCAATGAACTGTCTCGCATATTTGGCTGCCCATCTAACGGATTTCTTCGAAATACCACTGAGTGAAGATGGTTTGTTTGTTTAAAGATTGATTTGTTGATTTAATATGTAGAAAATGAGCAGTGCGCATGAAGGTGGTGTTGGTGTACAGCGATTAAAGGACATCGAGTTGTTCATCGGCCATGAAGATGACCAGTTGAAAGCGGCAACAATAACGACGATCATAGCAGCTTTCAATAAGCATTCATCGGCTGGTCAGTGTTTTTTGAATTCATTTATCAGTTGTTCATAATTCATACGAACAAACCCTTCAGAGCCATCATCATTCTTCAAGAAATGTGTGCTGGAATGTGTGCACATGCGACGTGCTCAGTGCATCCGAGCTCTGTTCAGTGCTCTCAAATCATCGATTCATATCGTTTATACAAACAAACTGGTTGATCGTTTGTGTGAATTCGCATGTGAATATTACCGCGATCATTATTTCTTGTTAAGAGTCAGTTATTTTTAATCGTTTCATTTCTCAGAAATTAAGAAGATAATTACTGATCCATTTCAGATATCAGTCGTTGAATTCTTAGCAAGTATTGAGTGGCGTAAAGCAGAATCAAGCTGGAAACAACTACCCGGTCATCTAATAGACATTTATCTGTGCTTATTATCAGATCACGACCATCGTGTGCGTAAGATTGCTGCTGAAAATCTGCCTTTGTTAGTTTATTTGTTTGTTTATTGTATCTGCGCATTGAATATATTGTTGATCACGTTAATTTTTTGCCTTTATTTGATGCATCCGTTGTAGAATGGTATGCAGTAAAACTATGTTCGAGTGTTACTGATTTATTAATAAGAAACTCATAGATTGGTGAAAAACGCGAACTTCAATAAATATCCAGATATTTTTGTCACACAACTACCATCAAACTTCTTGTGCGACACTTTTCCGAGAAGACCGTTGGTAAGTGGGCTAACTTGTACAATTAATTTGTTCACATTGAATCCTAATGACAAGTATTATTTTTCATGATAATAAGCTTATTTGATCGCCATATCTTGCAGATCATTGGCCTAGGAATTCAATACAATTTTGGTACGGAACAGATGGATTTTAATTTGGCAGAAAATTTGTCAGTAATACTGCATAAAGTATTTGAGTTATTGCTTTCATCTAATGACGAGAACTGTCAGGTTTGACCATTATTCTGATACTTATCATTAGCGGTTATTTTGAATTCATGTTTGTCGTCGAATTATTGAAAGCTATATGTGTGTATCATTTGAAAGGTTCATTTATTATTGCAATAGTAGTAACAATAGTAATAATAATAACAGATTATTGTTATATTGCAGACGGGTTTAATAGCGGGTTTGATGAGTCTGTCAAGAAAGTATTCACCATCATGTTATCAGCAAGCATGGTTAAGTGGAGCAAACAATGAACTGGCAAGAATTGGTTCAATTCAATCGTTATTAGATAAGGCATTAACCTCATGCGCATCAGTGCAAACAATCGCAAATATCGCCGAAATTTGTTCATCGCTCTTTGCGGGTGTGTTCATTCGAATTTATTTTCACTTTTCAAGCTTGCAATCGTCTTTTGTTTGCAGCATTCACCGATCAAGGCACAATGCAATGCGCTAAGGCAGTTGATGTTGACATTCCTCATACATCACTACCAAAACTCCCTCCTGCTCACATAATCAATCAGTTGTTGACATTGTCATTAAGGTAAGTGAAATGCACTTCTACTTAAAGAAATATTTTGTTAGTTGCATCAGTTCAAATGGTTTAATGCTAATATTCTAACAGTGATAATGCCAATAGCGTACCATAACAATAACAATAATATTGAATTTTAAGGATTCTAAATTTGTATTATACAGTGGTGATGGATCGTAGAACAGAACGTCTGACACAGCTGTATGGTTCTGGTTCATCTTCTTCGATTAGTAGTGGGGGTGTGAGTCAATGGTCGTCATCGCCGTTGAGTCTGAGTGCGATGACGAATCGCATCCTGAATCGTTATACATCCGCTTCATCACCACTTCGTAAACAACTCTCAACTGCTGCTTCTAATCTAATTCAGACGTCATTCTTATTATCTACGAATCTGAAGTATTGCTACGACTCAATGCGAGGTGCTTACGTCAACTATTTGGTGAGTTTTGCTATTGTTGCGGTCTAGTAACAGTGATGATAAGAATCGTATTTGCAGAGCAGTTTAAATAGCGATGTACGTAAACGATTCTCTTCACTATTAATCGCAGCACTGAACAGTCTGTCGTGTGTTCTCGAAATGGCACTCTTTCCATCCATACAACATCTCGTCGAGGAAGTACTGAACCATTAATCATTCAATTAAATTTTGTAATTTTCACTCTCGTTTTTGTGGAAACTATTAGATTTTGATTGATTACAACAGCTGGTACTCTACTGTCATATTGTGGTCGAGTTTGCACCAGTGGAGACCATTCGCCTTGTAACGCAAATAATCAAAACGTTATTCGGTCGAAACGCAGCAAATTTATCGATAACAATGCTTCGAAGAATGTTATTGGTTGAAGTGAATTACGAACCACCGCATGGTACTGATTAATTTTGATTTGATTGACTTTCATTTTGATAACAGCTGCATACTTCATTCATCAGTTTGATCCATTAAAAATAGTATTGATGTGCATAAAACATTCGTTCTGTTCTTTTAAGATATTCTCGAGGCGTATTTATTAAAAAGTGCAAATTTATTCACGGAATTTGTGGTGAACTCTGGCAAAAACGAATACTTCAAGGCACATCTCTTGAGGTTATCATTATTACGACAATTAATTTCCTTTTGTTTCTAAAGTTTGAAGTACGAATATGTTTGTATTTACAATTGGTGAAGTATAAATATAATATAAGGAATGTTGGATGGCTACGCAAAGATACAACGTGGAAAGCACACTGCAGCGAGGTGTCATTAGTTGCTCAACATATCGAACATTTTGAGGAGTTCGTCTCGATGACCATGCGCTTTTATCAAGCGTCAAACTCGTGTGATGTTCAGATAGCGGTATTCAATTAACTTTTGCATTTTTCACTTTCGAAACTATTGCATTTTGATTAAATGGAACAGCTGGCACTCTACTATCATGTTGTGGTCGAGTTTGCACCAGTGGAGATTGCTTTTATCATTAATTTTTTATCGTTGTTATTGTGTTAATCGGTAGCGAATTTGTGCATTAATAAATTTTTGTTATTGAAGATATTGAATTTGCTATGCGAATTAGTACGTAATGGAATCAATTTCACGTTGATAGATCCTGAGACACGGTTGTTGAATCTTATAACATCGCAGTTGAACGAAATGACAAAAAGAGTATGGTTAGTGTATTTGAAGTGTTGTCATTAGTATAGTGTTTAGTAATTGTCTATTGAAGGTGCAACGAGGCAATGGAAAGTGATGAAGGCCGTCTGATGCGTTCAATTTTTGAATTTCTCTCTGTATTATCGCATATTCGAAGTCAAGGTCAGACGATCATTGATGCAAATAAGGTGATTTCGTTCAGTGAAGTTCTGCTGAGTGCTGCAGCTGATTCAAAGCCACATCTTGCAGCTCACGGTTGGTAATATGCTTGTAGATGCGTGGTGATTACTTTAATAAATTGCAGCACTGAATTGCCTGCAAGTGGTGCTGACTGATTATATCGGTGTTCGATGTCGTTTCGAAATTGGATTAGTGAAGATATTGACGGATGCAGCAAACTTATGGAAGCAAAAACCAACAGAATTAGTTCAGCTGTGGACCCTTCTCCTTTACGGTGCTTCAACACTCGCTGATGAGCAAACGTACTCTTTTTATCAACTGAAAATTTGTAGATTTCGATTATATGAGTTTGAGATGGAAATAATTCAATAAACTGTTTAAATTTATAATAACAGATGGTGTAAAGTGTCGTTATCGTTTTACGAGATGTTATTGAACAAAGTGGATGAGTGTAGTGAATGGAGTTTGCGAACGACGTTTAGTGTTTCGATAGCGTTGCGGTCGTGTCATTCGATTGTGTTTAGACCGATTGATAGGTTTTACGGGATGTTGTTGACGTTACTTCAGCGAACGGTTGGTTTTTGTTGATTTGTTTATTTTGGGTAAATAGTGTTTGATTATCAGGAGTGGAGTGCACGACAACGGACAATCTGTGTGGCACCTTTGATCTTCATCTGGCTTTGTGTACTGGATGAGGATCAGATCTTTTCAAGACTCGAACAACTTGGATATAAGCCTGCTGATGAGATTGCACGGTTATTTTTGGTGTTGTTGATGATTTAATTGTGATAGTACTAATGAATGGATTGTAGATTATTAATTGATTTATTATGGGCATTTGTGCGCGAATTGAATGAATCGGAATCGGAATGGAAAAGGGACGAAACAGAAAGTATACTTACTTGGTATTTGCACATTCTGTCGTACGCATTGCGATCTGGTGAGAATCTTAAATATTTGACACTTTATTCTAATGCACAATGAAATTAATTGAGGAAGCGGAATGAAGACGTGTTCGTTGCTGGGTAAGTATTCGAAAGATGTGACAGACATGACTGCTGCAGTCGTTACTCTACAAAATAATTATCCAAAAGCTTGTGCTCATTTGATTGGTTTCTTAAGTGCGCTCGTTATTGATCCAGATGAAGTATTCTCGTTCGATCATGAGTGGTTGTTCTTCATTCTTATTATTATCATCGTTATTGTTTTGATGAGTATATTTATCTGTGTGTGAAGATAAGTGTTTCAGTGATATGAAAAAATTTTTGACGGCGGTGCGACGTACGAGTGTGTTGGAAGAAGGGAATGGAAATATAGTGGAGGTGTTATCGACAGTTGAGCGTTGTTCACTTGCACAGTATGAGCGTATTGTGCAACATTTGGACAGCAGCAATTATTTGAAGTATTATTGATATTGATGTTGTTATGAAATCAATGATAGAGACAGACCATGTGAAGAGAATATTCATTTAGATCAGCAATGATGTACGAATGTGAAAACGTTCTGAAAATTCTTGTCGAACGTGCCTGTTTCTTTGAATCGGTACGTTTCAATTGTTATTATCAATGTGATTGTTCACTGAAGATAGCAATGAATTCTTATGATAATTTAGTCATCAAAATTATTGGAACTAGTTGATATGGTTGAAAGAAGTGGAAGAGTAAGTGAGAATGTGATGGTGATGCTGTGCGCATGTTCAGCCATATCACTTGCGGTGAACGAACGAGTGGATGACTTCGTTGGGACACTTCTGAGAAAGGTATTGCGTTGTTGAAGTTATCTATTGCGGTGATGGAGTCCGACTGAAGCTTGTTCGGAAAAATCCGACGATGTCGATCGGAACTTCGACGGTCGGATTCCGACCGAGCAGTTTGGAAAGTCAGTCGAAATTCCAACTGTCGAAATGACGAAGTGCCAGTTTGGTCGGATTCCGACCGAACGAAATTTCGTTTAGATGCCATCATTAATCTATTATTGACACAATATGATTGCAGATTAGAGTTAGACAAGCTGACATGTATGTTAACAATCGCATATCTCGTTGTCAACGCAACAAGTTGGTTGTTTTAAATAGTGATTATTCATTTTGCTCGTTTTGATTTATTTTTATTTGAATCTTCTTTTTCAGCAATTATCTGATAATATATTTGATAAGTGCTTTGTTTGTTTAATAATTCAAATTTTCAGGTTATTGAAAAAAGCAATACCCAAGTCAATTGATCCAGCAACTTTCGATTCGTCAGTTCTTATTACTTTATTGATGTCGTCAATCAAATCAAAAGGTTTCCACCTCTATTGCGCATGTAGAATCCAGTTTCATTTGGTGATAAATATTGGAATAATTGACAATATAAATAATATTCTCTCGTTGATATGAATAGATATGAATATTTCTGATATGACATTTGTTATAGATAATGTAATTCAAGCCGAATCTGTCTCGAAAATATTTTCAACTTTGAACACAGAATCAAGCGAGCAGCTATTGCTGACATCTGTAAGATTTTTTAAAAAGTATTCTCTTTATTCGTTAATTCTTCAGTTCATATACCTCATTTTTGTATTTTTTTCGATTATCATACGAAAAAATATAGACATTGTTGTTACAGTTTAAGTCGAATCGATTCGATATACTTTCGTGCTGTCTCGACGAATTGCAAAGCATCAAAGTGGCAGCGTTGAATTGTGGTCGGTTTGCATTATGATAATGATTATAATCGTTTTTGATGAATGAATTATAATTGATTAAAGGCGAGATGTACAGTGAATACTCGATGATGCAACTGCAACGCGCAGATAGTCTTTTATCAGTGTTTATTCGACTGTGCTTTGATATCAAGCTCAATTCGCCTTTACAATTATCTACACTCAGTAAAATTGCGAATGTTCGTTGTATTATTATTGTTTTTTCTATTATGTATTATTTTGATTTTTGTTATGAGACTGAATTTTCAGCAACGAAGCGCAAAAATATCTCAAAAGTTGGCTGATTGGGCGTCAGATGGGAAAATTTTTAATCATTGGATGAAGCGATATGTGCATTATTTAGGAGTTGAGGCAATGGTATGTTCACTGATATATGTGTTACGAATGCAGTGGAGTAAATTAAAATTACAGCATTGTAATGAAGTTGATGAATGCTGTATTGATGGGATGACATTCGCAATCACACAGCCGTCGTTCATAAATGAAATCGAATCGCAGTTGAATTCTAAAGAGATCATTCAGAAACAGCTCTCGCTGGTTATGGCGCTTAACAGGTGTATATTTGTTTGTTGTTGTTGTTGTATAGTTGGTGGCAGTGTTCAAGCACAAGTAGCAATTTAAAGATTGATCGATTTACTGCTTATGAGCGAAGAGAGTCGTGGTGAACACAATCGAAGAGAAACGAAAATTTGTGAGCCCTTAGAAAAACTGATCTCCGAAATATCCATTCACAATCGCACAGGTCAAAAGAATTTCGATTTGGGTTGGTGCTTTTTTAAAAGAATTATTTTGATGTTATGGATAATAGCAATGATTTGTTAAGCAATAAAATATCTTTCATATATACAGTAATGTTCGTTTAATAATGATACCAGTGATTCAAAATTTATTTTGATGAATTTTCATTCATTTGCTTTTGTGCTGTTATTTTTTAAAACAAAATTTTCGTATGCTTCAACCTTGTATCCTTGAATTCAAACTTCAAACTTATTACATCGTTCTTCTAAAAATTGCAGCATTTTTCTCGGATGCAACTCAAAAAGCATTTGATGCGGTTTTAAAGTTGCAAGAAGTTTTTCGTAATGGATTATTATCCGGTCATAAACTATCGAAAGCACTGGAAAAACTCGCTAAAGGTTCGAAAATATATAGCTTCGAACGAGTTCTTGTATTTGATCCGTCCGATTTGGTAATGCGAAAAAAAGAAGGGGGCAGTGATATTAATTGTATATTTCAGGTGTAACTCGATTGCCATTCCTCAATGATATATCATGCATCCCACGACTAGCGTTATCGTAAGCGTTATTCATTTTCGATCAATTGTTGATTTTGTTGATTCATATTGCTAACAGCAGATGTGGTTGGCATATTGAACTAGAAGTGTACAGTAAGTCGATAACGATCCCAACGGTCAATATTCATTATTTGGCGAATGTGGATGTTTTGAAACAATTCACATGGCGTATCTCATGGGCCGGTTGGAATCGTCGTGTCAATTTTGATAACTTCTCAATGTCTCTTTTTGGTGTATTAGGATCAACTCCAACTGGTTCTGAATTGAATAATCCGGCTGTGGTTAGATTTATTATTATTGTTATTGTTGTTATTATGATTACTGCTATTAATGTTTGTTTTTTTTTTCAAATGAAAAAGATTCGAGTGAAGAATTTAAGAATGTAACTGAGCGAGTGATGGCAAGTTCGGCTGCAGTGGAGGGTTTAACAAACTTATTATTACAAAGTTTATTGTATCCAGAACGAGGCAATCCAGTCAATAGCCGATTCATCATGAAGCATCGCGATTTGTCATCATCTCAATTCCTATCGTCTGCGTTCGTTTTTATATTATTATTGTCATTGATGCAAATATTTTATTGATGCATTTTCAGATATGGTAAGCGAATGTGTATGCTGAAAGCGTTGTTATTGGGTGTTTACTCGAATGCAGAACGTGTTTATGGAAGCAATTTGGAATTTTTGGAGGAATTGCACGATTTGAATGAGTATAGAATGGGACATTTATCAGTGCATTCAATATGGAATATGACCGGTGTGTTGGATCAAGAAAGAAATCTTTATATGGATATTTCTTCGTATGCAAACGCTGTTATCGACTTTTCGCAATCGGTTAATTGTATATTTAAATATTTTAGCAACATCATTATATTTATATATTTTTAAACTATTACTATTAGTATTATAGCAACAAGTGAACTATCAACCACCACAACAGTCGTTACCATCGTCGACCAGCAATTACCTGTTGGAAAGTGGTCATGATTCATCGACTGAATCGTGTTTGCGAACGCTCTTCGATACGTATTCGCACTGGTTTCGTGTTGGAATCGACGCTTTGCCTCTTTCACTTCTGTGTGGCACTGTTAAATCGGTTGTTATAAATTTATTTGGTTGATCCTTATTTGTTGGCATTTAATGTATAATTGATTTGCAGATGACGCTTTTATCAGACTTATTCACTGACTTGGATCAATTCAAATTTTTATTTGGTCATATGAAAACACTCTTCAATGCACGTTCATACTACGAGAATTTCGACATTGGCAGCGTGATCTTGTCGCTATTGAAATGCGTTGCAGTGTTGGGCATTGTACGTTGTTCTTATTCATCGTTTCATTTAAGAAATGAATGAATTTACAGGAGGAGGTGAGTATGTCAAAAGCGGACGCGCAAAAGATGCTCTTTTCATGGGTCGAGTGTGGCTTAACGTTGAATATGTGTGAGATGCGTGTTCGTACCCTTCAAGGCCTCTTATTCGTTCTGCAGTCAATCAATCACGATGATCTCAAGCCTGTTCTCGTATTTCTACATTCATTCATTATCAATGAATTACAACTGTCCAACCACAAATTATATCATAACACTCCTAATAATACAAGCAACAATTTTAAGCGGTTTGTTTATTTGTCGCATTTAGTGCAATCTTTCGCTTATTCATTCAATTGTTCGATTATTCATTTACAGACAAATTTTCAGAGAGCAGTCAAACGAATATGAGATACTACTATGGACTGTTGGTTTTTTCTTTTGTGCAAATGCGTTATTTTCAACGGAAGCCTTCAAAGTGACTTTTGTTGATGTGAGTGGAAGTTGAGACATTTTGTAGAATGTTCGTGTTTAATTTCACAATAACCGTGTTTAGATATTTTGTTAGAATGATGATATTTGTTCAGTTGATTCGTAGCAGTCTGATTGCACCTCAGACGCCGGATTGGTTAATGAATCTATTAACTACTGGAATTGAGCATCTCGTTATTAGCACAAGAATTTATATCCGCTCGTTTGACCGCATCGCAATACGTTGGTTTATTGGTGGTTTGTTTGAGCAATGTTGAACATTCAGTATGGATATTGGTTCGAATCAACGAATATGTATTTCAGAGATGTTGACGAATTACTTTCAAATGCCATCAAAATTCATATATTCACTTCGTATTTTTATCGTATGCCTTTATCATGGAATGCAACAAGGCGCTTTTTCACGCCAAGCTGTTGAACAGTACGATCCACGCTTGTATTTGATGGAGCAACACAAAACCCTTTTCAAAATGTTGTTCATATGATATTTTTTATG